CCCAACTTAACACTGAGGTTATGATGATGTGGTATTTGAACAGGGTTTGCGAACATATGGTGTGATGATATATAGAGTAGTAGTGCGACGATAATTAGCAGGGAAAAGCTGAAGAAAAAAACAGGAAAATAAAGCCGCTCCAGCGAAAATTCAACTATAAATATCACCTCAAATTACCTGGAACAGATCTCAGGTCTCAGCGCTGATAAGCCAGAGCCTTGGTGCATAAGTTATGACACGTTCTGTACAATACAGACAAGACTTTAAAATTCTATGTACGATATTATCAGCATGTAATATATCTAAACACGTTTATCGGAAGTATAAACTACAAATGTATTCAAATATCACAGTGACGGCTCAAAATGAAACACGTACAGGCGAATAAAACTGATTCTTAAATTGTTTGCATTGCAGATTCATCGAGCAAAGCTTGAGAGCTTCAGAAACAGCAAGAACTGTTTGTTGCAACACATTCTGTGTGAATTACCATAAAAATAAATAAATAGTACACAATGATGAACAAACTGTTTCATTCATCATGACGCTGTAATTTCCAATTACTCAACTAACCTAACCGTTTTCATAAACATGACTCATAGTACAAAAATCATTCTGTAAAACTTAGGTACATCTTATTAAGAACTGCATATTAAACAACATATTAGTATTTGCAGTAAATAAACATCAAGGCAAATGAAGCATGCAAAACAGCAACGGGCATATTTGTAAAACGTGTACTCCATTGGAAAACATCTCTCCCTTTAATTTTTTCTTCTCACCCAACTCCTAAATGTCAAACTTCATATACAGTCCGTACAGTTTTCTCTCTCCCTAAATGACTCTCTTAGCACCCGAATGAAATATTCATACAACATAATTACGATGACACAACCTTCAAACACCAGGATAAGATAATTTAACAACGTAGTTATACATGGATACGATTTCCAGTTCCCCTTATTTCAAGTTTTGTCAATTCAAATAAACGTGAAACTAATTTTTAATACACTCAAAACTGAATCTATAAATAATTAATGAGGCTGCATGTGTAAAGAGGTAAGGAAAAATGAACACACAATACTATATAATACATTTCATACAAACGAATATAAGTTACTCTACTCACCCAGTACGGTAATTCCTCTGAGGACTGTCATCGAAGACCCATCATCTTACTTTGGTTATAGGCCTATTCTGTATATGCACACAGTTTAGAAATTAAACACAGGCCTTGTAACAAATTATAAAACGGCATTAAAAATCTTTGCGTTTTCCAGTCATAAAAACACCACTGCATACACTAACATTGTGGTTTAATGTTTAGGCCCCTTCGTAAAATAAAAATCATTAAATTTTCTTGTCGATAAAAACAAACAATTATGGTCACACAAACACTGCGCTTATCAGTTGTTCTAATGACTGCTATGCATATAACCGGAACTTTAAACGTCTAAGGTGGAATTCAGATTACTCTTTATTTCGAACTTTACGACTGCAGCAAAAACATTTATATTTCATCCACATCTGTTAAACAGGCCTTCTTTTTAAAACCCCAAACGCTCCTTTCAAGCGTGCTTTATGGAAAACTATCAATAAAAACTGCGCCATTTGTCTCCATAAAACAAACTGAAACACAACATAGTGATATTATACTCTTTTGAGTACGCTCACTGCTCACAATAATACAAGATAAGAACTGCTATAAACACGCAAAACACGTACAGAATGTTCCAAAAATATATATACACATTATAATACGTAATATTAAACTTCTTATCGATCTCACCGCTGTCAACTGAGGCACGAAGCTAACGGAAGTAAGTTAGGGATCTTGAGTACAGACAGCGAACTATTAGAAGTTGGAGAGGAGGTAACCCTGTGAAAACAAATTACAATTAAATATGTTCGCACAGCGAAACAAAATATAAATATATTAAATATTTAGCTTCTATCGTACATGTCTAGAATCTGTTATGGCGGGAGGCATATTATTTCCAATTTTGTACACAAAGTATTTGTGCTTTGAAAAAGTAACATGGTGATCCATCACAGCACAAAAATACGTAGTCATGTAAAATGAGGGTGTCACAGTGGCGAGCATGAAAACGGCTGTCTTCTGGGTTGTAGCATCAGATAGAAGGTTACCAGCGTTTCACAGATACTTGCTGCCTCTGTCATCAGGCTGATTGCCCTTAACACTGTGTAGTCTTGTAGACAATTACCAGCGTTCTGGACATAGGTACTGCGTATTTTACTTTGAAGATGAAGGTGGTATGTCCCTCTGATATATGTTAAATTGTAGCACAGTAAGTGTTTCAAAAATATTCACCACAAGAACCTTTCCTCTTATTACAAAGCACCAGCACGTGAAAACTGAAGGAGTATGTTAGGTTATATCACAGTACAAATTTTAATCTAAACAAATTTCAGCTCCATCTAACATACTTTCTTGGGGACGTTTTGGCAAGTATTTGATGTATAATTTTTATTATAAAGTTAATGTAGTTCTATTACACTTAATAAGACTATGTAATATTTTGCGTTTCTAGGGATATCTGAAAAGAAATAAATATTACAATACCAGCATCAGCCATTAATATCACACATTAATCATTCCCTACTTACCGGTATATTTCCTTCAGAAAAGGTTCAGACTGAGTCACTCCCTGTAAGAGATTTTTATTGCAACAGAAACATCAATGATGCATATTTTATTTAATATTCATACTCTAGAACAAAAGAACTGTGAAATAACTCTTGATAATAAATGCTTGTAAATGACATGAAGTTTCAAAGATATCTAAATGTACTGCTTTTACATTAATTTAAATACTTAAAGTACTATCTGACCCTACACAGTATCACAAGGACTAATATTCTGAACTGTTACTACCATTTTAAAATCTAAATGCTCAGCAATATGTCATACACAAGAGAATAACAGAACAAGTTGTGCGTTAATAATCAATGGAACAATAATCAATGCGTGCTTAATTAACATCTACAGTATTCAAATATTAAGAGTGTTCAAGTGTACAACATTTTAGAACTGCCACATCTCCAGAAATGAATGTAAACAGTATGGACCTCTTCTTTGGTTCTATAGTTTCCAACACATATAATTTGTTCTTAGGAATAACTGAACTAAATGATCAGAAATCAAACAAAAATACACTGGCTAAACACTGTTGGCAACATACCTACTGCGCTACTTACTGCATGAATTTCACTTTTCCACTCAGCCATAACTGCCACCGAGGTCATATTAGTGTAGTTCGAACATTATCTTTAAGTCTGACATTCGTCACACTTCTAATATGGAGACAAACTTCACACTATTCTTGGATTTTAATTCCTCTGGCTTTTGTGGCCCAGTCAAATGTTTATTTCCACGAAAGTCATTTACTTCTTAAGCTCGACCGTTATTTTTGACATTGCCATTGTAATCAAGTTGATGGATAATTTCTGAAATGACAGTTGAGCTTACTGCAACACACCATCATCAGAACCCTTCAAACCAATCTTTTACTTCTTTCTTTGCAAAACATTTTAACACATAAATTTCCATTAACAGTAGTTACTTGCCTACAGAGATCTAAATATTATATGAAGAATTCATCTGAACATTTCTATTACCAACTTGTACATAATCCTTATAAATAAAATAATATTTATCTCTTGACATGTTTTCTTATGACACTGGAAGTGGCAGGTACGACGTATTGATCTTGGACGGCCAAAATTGTCATCCCTCACTTTGACAGCAGTAGTACAAGAATTAAAAGTGTTTGAAAGTAAAATGCTTAGAGAGCTAACATGGTTGAAGTGCGTGAGAAATTTACAATATTACATAATGAGCAACTTCATGATATACACAGGTCACTCAGTATTCTTACGACAGTTGACGTGACCCACTACTGTATTCCGTGATCCAAGCTCCAACATTAGCACATTTGAACAGTGTTCTCTTCTGATTTCTGCTATGAGAGAAATATTACTCATATTACAGTTACAGTTTACATGTGAGCATTATCAGCAAGGTATTTAATGACATTAAATACTACTCAGACTGCTCTATGTAATACGAAGTAATCAACTACTTTCACAAAAAGTACAAACTTTTTCCATTTCTAGTGATAAACTAATGTTACATGTTACTTGTCCAATGTTACAGACCGTATTCAGGTTACACCTGACCCAACTTACAAAAACCTCACTTTACACAAAATTATTTTAAAATCTTTTTAAAATAAAATTATTTACTGTACGCATCATCAATTCTCTATTAACAAGCTTCCACTGTGAATTAAGGTACATTATACATGCTGATGTTACATAGTTTTACTGCCTACAGAGGATAATCAAAGCATATTATGAATATACATAATTATGGTAATTTCTAACATATATAGTATTTTGGTTACATAAAGGATTGGAGAACTGAGCTCTTACACAGGCTGCGGACTGTCCGCATTCATAGCTAAAGTCAATTTTCTGAGCATGTCCCCCCTGCCAGTCATGACATTACCTTCAAACAAATATCCTCTTCCCCAACACAATTTAGAGAAAACAGAAAACACTCACAAACTATTTTCAGTCAATCCATGCCACTTATTGTTCCTATGGCATTACTAAGAAAACTGACATATTGAATGGGTCATGGATTTCAAAGTGGCATCAGTTCACTCTAAAAGAAGGCAAAATTATAAATAAAACCAACAACAGTAGCATGCAGACCACAGTTTGGTACCACTAAGCTACTCTGTACACTAGTCAGTTAACTGGGGATATGCAGTTTTCTCTAAGTTATAATTCAAGAAAAAGAGTTGATAACCTTTCCAGGACTTATTTCTTCAGTGCAGTCTAGACAAAACTCAGGTAGCTGCATTCAAGTCCTATTAGCATTATAACACATTGGTATGTGTTGGTCATAGAAAACTGTAATAATTTCAAAATTTATGCTAAAATTAATTATTGAACCTTAAGCTTGTAATATGATTTCAACATGTACAGCATTCCTTCTAGTTCACTTTACAACCAACATATGTCACATAACAGCATTTATTCATCTTTACTATGCTTTCTTTTATATAGTTACAAAGTGAAAGCAACCTTTATGAGACTATGCCTGCTAGCCACGTGTTTAGAATACACAATTTTAAGTCGCAACAACAACAGACTAGGAAAATGACTAGCTGGTCTATTGACAATGTAATCACACTTGTTAGTTTGTAGTTACATTTCACAGTGGTACGATGTACATAAATTTGGCACTTGGAAGGAAAGTTAAACATACAAATTAATAAACAATATTGTCATTATTAATATCATCAATCTCCTTGCTGTTTTCCAAACACATTTCAGAAACTGGTTCTGTTTACATCATTAAGTAAAAGAGAAGTAGAATTCTTACTTGGTTGTGGTGCTTATAATGAGCTAGTCTCAATTGCTAGAGAATAACAATAGTCATGTTTATTGTAATAACATCATCAGAAACATTTAGATTTACCTAATACAAATTAATATTCTAGTCAGACAGTCTTTACATCTGTAAATTCACTCTTCTTGATTTTGTTGGACTAGAATTCTCACTTACAGTCCCTACCCCATCAAATAGAATTAACAATTCAACGCTACAAATTGAAATGGAACATTTGCCTTCACAAATTAATGAGCTAAACATACCCATCTATTCATTTCCAGTCACTTTATTTAATGATTGTAACTATGCTGGCCTTCACAGTATCACTTACCTCAAATACCATGTTCTATTATCTTAATTTATTTTATATCCAGTGGATAGAGAACGAGTTGTTCAGACGAAGTTTCAAGTTCTCAACCTTCATAAACTGAAAACAGAGAACAGAATTAGAAATGAGCAAATTTCTAAACTCAGCTTTCCAAAAATAAAAGTAATATATTTCATATTTGAAGACAATTTCAACAGTTACTGATTTTTTTAAGTGTTAGCTGAAATGTAATGCTACATAATGAAGAGAGAGTATAACGTATAATACGGTACATTTTGTGAGAACCTAATATAAATTCGTATCAGTCACAAACTTCCACCTATAAATTTAAATATTCTTTAGGACACATCCAGAAATATATGCAGCATTGTTTTAATGAGAAATGTACTGCAACTAAAACTGGTGTTGGCCAGCAAAGATATCACATTCTAAACATTTCTGGCAAAAATTTTCTTGGTCTTAACATCAGGATGCTGGTAAATGATGTATTTCAAAACAGCCAGTACACTGCAGTTGTTTTATGCAGAGACACGTGATTGAATCTGTGACTGTAGGACAAGAGCTAAAAGTGATCCAGTGATATTTCAGCATTAAATGATTGACACAATCAAATAACCTTGTTCATGGTGTGGTAAGAGAATGGTTTAGAAGCCTGGTTCACAAATACAGACTTCACTGGCTTCTGTATTCCAAGGACTGTGACCTTATCTAAAACTGGCATGGCACTATATTCCCACCAAATTGTAGATCCTGTGAGATGTGACTTAGCCAAGGTAAAGTTCAGAAAGTTGTACCGTCGATCTGCATACGTATCTGTAATGAAAAAATCTTTAATAATATATAATCAAAGACATATGAGCATAAACCATATACTTGCATAATGCATATTACCATTTACATGCATGTACAGAAGTTTGTATTATGAGATCAGAAAATAAATAGGCAAAAGAGCACTGACATTTCGTAACACACACTGCAACTTTCTACATGTCCAATCACTGGCCTACTTCATGACTCTTAATACAGAATGTTCCATTTAAAATGCAACTCTGACCACATCATTTTTTAGTTTTGTTGACATCAATATAACAAGTTGTTTTTATTTTATATTTGTTAAAAGAACTTACAGAACAGCTTTACATGTGTCAAAACTGTCCAACACTTCATGAGCCCCAAAATGTTACCAGTGTATTGTCTTATTTGGTATTTTTCTGTCACGATATACACTGCTAAATACTTCGCCAACAGCAACAAATGATTTTGTGCAAATTTATGTTCAAGAATGAATACACATTCTGCTAGTGATTACACCATGTCTACACCAGGTTTCGTGCAAGCAACCAGGGTGACTAAGACTTCAGTGTCACAGGGGAGGTTGGAACAGTGTGGACCAGCTCTTAATTTCTTTTTTGTACCACAGTACATGATTGTTGTTGGGTTTTATACATTCTGTATGATGTAATCAGCTCAGTTATGGTCTTACTGTTCTTCTTTCACCCTGCCCACCCCCTGAAGCACATGAATCCTGGAGATGGATTCACCTACTCTCAATAAAAGGATAATGGTGAAAATGGGACCAACAATTTAATATTTGATTCAACAAATACAACTCCAATTCAAGATCAAGTTTGCACTACAATAAAAATAAAATTAAAAGCCCTAAGATATTAAATCTTCTGCAGAAACTTATATTTAAAAACTAGATATAATATGGCATGCAGCTCAATGCTTCTTCAGAAAGGTCTGAAAGCTGTAGACTAATATAAAAATTCAGAACTTACAATATGCAACAAATTGAATTTCGTGGCTTTTCTATGTGCACACAATATTTTAATTTAAAAAATGCTGAAGTCCTCTGGGATGAAATATTTAACTGTGCTAATAAGATGTTTCTTTATACAAGTTATCCACACATATTACGAGACAACTTTTTTTTTACTTCTGCACCATAATGCAATAACAGACTCCGTTCTATACTCACTGAGTGAATCACCATCATCCCAGTACAAAGAGCCAGTGGCACGGCCATCCTTATCTGGGGCTATCAGCAGCTCAAAATCATTTTTCCGACTGAGGGAAAAAAAATAATGCAAAAGTTCAGCAATAGCTTACACAGTAACTGGTAAGTGCTGTTGTGAGCATAAAATTATGAGACAAACTTCAGTACGAGTGAACAGTATGATACAAAAGTTATATGAAGTAAATTCTAGTTACAACACCAATTATCCACATTAATTTGGCATAAGGCTGATGCTTCAACCACTGTGGGTCACCTTATGACAAAGCTTTTTGTTCTCCATTATCTCTATCCTTCCACTAGCACTCCATTTGAATCTTCTATTTTATTTTGTATATATTTTCTAACTTGGTCTCATAACCTCATTTTTGGCACCCCCAGTGGTTGTAACCCACGCACAATCTCTCTCCATATTACTCTATCCTTAATCACTGGAATTCATAGAACATATTATGTATATAATTCATTATGAAAGGAACAAAAGCAACTGTAATTAGCACCAGATAAACATTTATGGTCATAAGATTCTTAATTATTATTATTTGAAAACTGATATTTTTAACCAATAAACTGTACCTGACTTTCCAAATCAGTATGATAATTTCATGATCCAGTCACCATGAATAATTGTGTGACTTGGATCTGTTTACTCATTACACTATTTATTTACTTTGATTTATTTGATATGAAACTTGTACCTGATAATATCTAGCAACACTGAAGATGTATTACAACAGTAAATACTTATAGCATTTAGCACAAACAACTAACAGGTCATTTGGTTGAACAGCGTTCAGATAGGGCACATTTTACTGAACTACCTTTCTGTGGTTGTCATGTTGGGAGCCTGTGTTGGAATGATACTGCCACCTCGTATTAGTAGAGGGATGGTGTCCAGTGGTGCAGATAGAGTATGCTGTGTACCACTACCTGGTACTACAGCCAATGTGTAGAAGTCATACCACAATGCATGTGGAAGATAGGCTGACACCTCTGTCTTATCCTGAGGAAGCATGTGCACATAATGAGAACAATTTTTTTCTTAATTTAACAAGGTTTATCATAAAGAGAGGATCTAACCTGTCCTTCAATTTATATTTATGGTGTCAATAAAGAGATAGATTATCACAAAATACATACTACTAAAACATTAATTGGAGAAAACTTAAAACTGATTACATGTTAACTCAGTTCTTATGACATTTTTAACAGAACCATCTGATTGCTTTTGAAGAAAGCATTAAAAAGTCATTGTAGCAGATATTAAAAGGAACAAGAGTACTTAGTTAATTTCTTACAACACACTTCCCAGTGTTCATTTCAACCATATACATAAAAAACAATAAAAATAAAACCTATACTCCAGTTAGAAGTCCCTTACTTTTGCAGTTCTAACATAATCATAACCATAAGTTATGGTTATGATTATGTTTGCTCTGCTTATGGTCCACACTAAACTTCCTCACCTCTTCCAGGACAGGTACTATCATGAGAGCTGAACCCCACAGAAACTGCTCATCAATGCTGTAAGTGTGAACATCTGATGGGAACCTGGAAGAAAATGAATAACAGTCCATAAAGCTGAGTTCTCTCTTGAGACTGGCCTTCTGTTCTGCAGATGGAGGCAATATGTTACAAGCCATTAGAATTCAAATTGATTTTCTTTTCTTTTTTTTCAACATGTGTGGTACCGACATGTTTTTGTAACCTGAGAAATAACATATTACCTATTCTGTGAGGCAATTAAAATTAAAATCCTCTAATTTTAGCAAAAAATGGTTCTTTGTTTATGTTATTTTCTAAATATACTTATTTAAACTTTCTGTTATTAAAAATCATTTTTGGTCTTTCTAAGCACGTTTCCTGTCGGATGATGGATTACAATGGTTTTTTGGGATCCTATCAACATATTCTTCCCAGTGTCTTCTGTAGTATAGTAAAAAATGTGTTACTGGTGAAGACTGTAGTTTTGTCAACATTTTTTTCATTTCTTTTATAATGTAACTTGTCCATTTCAAGAAACACATTTTAGTTAATATTAATTTTCTCTCATCAGTCCTGACAAAATTATAAAAGTGACAAAAATGTATTCAGAAAACCACAATGGACTATGTCTCCTAGGCATATATAGGAAGATACTACTAAATGGATTTTAGGGAAGACAGGTTATAAGGGCGATGTACTCAATTCAGCTTACACTGAATAAGGTCTGGTGGGACTTTGTAAACATAGAAAAGATTGTTCAGGTTCCATAAATACAGGGAATTTCTTTGACCAAGTGAGTAACTGTAACTTAACAAAGAATATCCTGCACTGGTATATTAATAAAATTAAAATGCCCAATTATTGCAACTACATAAACATGGCACAATTCTTCAGCCTTCCTTTACACATAACACACTTACTCAAAGAACAAAGGTCGCACAACAGTATCTCCATGCACATGAGCCCTCCAGAAGAGGGTGTACAGATATGGCAGCAGTGAGTAACGCACCAGCAGAGACTTGCGAGCTGACTGCACCACTGCAGGTCCCAATGCCACTGGATCTTGTGGCTGTAGTACAGAATACATAATTATTTCATTACACATATCTCTTTTCACATAAAACATGCAACTTTCTGTAAAATATATGCTGCTATACAATTTTTACTAATATGCAACATGCAGTTTCATGATGAGATCTGAGATTCTCAAGCCGGTGAAGATGATAATTCAGTTGTTCTTGGTCATGATGCCATGTAAACTCGTAGATACATACCAACATATTAGATAAACATGCCATTTAAAACCTCAGCCCTGAAGATGGATACAATGTTTCTCTCAAACGTTGGTATCTACTTACGAGCATCACAACCACGAGGAACATCATTGTCCAATTCCATGCTTTACAGAAACTACTGATTAGGGTGAAATACAAACTATCCTTTGATATACTTATGATCTTGTACACCACAGTCGTCATTTCTGAATAACTACCTGTGAGAAATGACTGAAGAGAAACATATTTCCCATAAATGAGATTCCAGGCATATTCATAAATTCCAAAGTACTGAAGACACAATTCTCTGTCAAAGGAGGGATACTTACAATGCCATCATCTGTGTTATGATTGCGAGAAAATGGATAAAATGCACCCAGTTGACTCCAACGCTGACAGAGTGCTGCAGTTGTGTTCCTATTGAATCCACATATGTCTGCACCCATTAGTGGAATTCCAAATAAATTGAAGTTCAGAAGTTCTGTAGGACAGGTCAGCAATGAAACCGAGATTAATCCCTTTACTTATTATCTTTTTAAGGCGCTAGATTTCCATAATTCACACTCTGACCAAAGGTCACAACTTTACAAAATGTCACGTTAGTTTTAAATCTATAATAATTGTGGCAAACTAAGAAAACCACATAGATAGCATGATGTCATAAACCAACTTTTCTCTTTAAGAAAGAAAAGGCTAAAAAATAAATTAAAAATACATACGTGGAATGGTCTTCTTCATATCATACCATGATGATGATATGTCACCACTCCAATGACCAGCATATAGCCCATGACCAGCAAATGTTGAACGAGAGATCACAAAAGGGCGTTTCTCTCTAATTTCTGTCATAACACTGTGTATAAATGGAAAACAGAGCTATGTGTAAATGCCACAAATAAATAATTTGTTAAATTAAATAAATGACTAAAGTGACAATTCATGACTGTTCTGTGATGAACATAATCTCTGATGAGATTACCTGTTCTCATGGTGGTGAGTACCAAGGTCTTCTGGGATGTTGCACCATGGTAGAAGTTTAGTGATGGTTCAGAAGTGCTTGCTGACTTCACCAACATTATCAAACTTCTACCTGACTACATGGTGCAACACACCAGGAAGACCGTCATCTTCATTAAACTCTGATGTAATGTTCATAAACAGAATCAGAATATACAACATACAAGTAACAAAGCCAGGAATGACGTACAACCTTCATAAAAAGTTTTAAAGTTACTGCTATTTACACAACTACTTTTCCATTTTCACATTTTGTTCAGTTTGTTGTTAATCATGCTTTAGCAGAATGTTACTTTAAATTTTGTACCACAGGCACTTTATATATTTTCATAGTAATTAGAATGAAACAAACAGAATTATATTTAGCGAATGGTATGAATAAGTAATGTCTATTAATGAAATGAGCAATTTAAAATGCACAATACTAGTACAAGCATTAAGTCAATATACTGGTACTCACAAACTTGTAACAATTGCTTCAGTAAAGCCATAGAGATTGTGTATATCATAATGGCGCCCTGCATATTGGGTGCTTGACATACACAGTGTATTATAAAACAGCCTGCCACCATTCACTCCTGCTGGAAAATATGGTGGATGTTCTAGATTGTTATCTGGACAGCCCTTGGTACTGCCAGACAAAAAGTTGGATGGTTCATTCATATCCTATACAAAAGCAAATAGGAAGGTTTGTATTTTATTTTAACCATCCTTTGTGATTCAGACTTCACTACTTGAATGTAAAAGTTTATTATTATTCTAGGCTTCAATCTATGAATACTAATATCTTAACATATGTTGATAATTAATTTAATAATGAAAGAGACAAGTAATTCATGACCATCTTTTTAACTTTAAGTCTGTAATCCCCTATTTATAAAAGTACTTACAATCCATGCTCCATCAAATGGAACTTCCTGATGAAGTCTTTTCAACTGTCGCAGCCAGTAGTCAACAGTGCGAGGATGTGTGAAGTCTGGCCACACTGTAGAGACACGATTCCATACCTAAAGAACACAGACATACAATTAAAAACAATAATGCAAGACTTTAAAGGAGCTGTCATGACCTATTTTGAAGTAATAACCTGGCATTCACCTGAAGAAACTGAGGGGAAATATGTTTTTTAATATAATTTGTGTTGTTATTCAAAGCATAATATTAACATAAACCATTTATATGTTACTCTTTACAGCCTAAAGGTAACAAAAACATTACTCATTAATCAATTATTATTTCAGAGAGATATAGTGTCCCATAGATGTAAACACATTATAATACAGACTATGAACTTTATGTATATACATCTTTTTGGGACACTCTGTAAACTCACCTTTCCAACAAATGGTTGTCCACTGGTATTTTTAATGAAGATGTCCATTTGAAGGCCTTCATCATAAGGTGGATAAGTGCCTGGCTTTTCGCTTCCACTAACTCCTGGATCTATTAGTAGAATGTAATGCATCCCCAGCTACAAACAAGAAAAGTGGAATGCTTTTCTGTAACATTTAATTTTCATACCTTGATAAGTTCTAACTACAGTATAATAATTCACACAACCACATATTAATAGCAGTTAGAGAATAGTAACAACATTTGAATAATAATGTTTGTTTGTCATGATATGCTCTACTTTTAAAATAATGTTAAAAATTATTACAAACAGATTAACACCTATACTTTCTGAAATTTGTTTTAAAAAAATTTAAAAAATATAAAATAGTATGTTGTCAACTGTGGCCCAATTTAAAAAAAAACACTATATTATACTAATGAGGAAAAATTGATTGGCATGTGCTGACAAACATTTGTCAAAAGGTAACACAATTACAACCTTTGATACTACGCTTACCTCATGTAATTCTTCCACAAACTCAGGTAAATACTTGAACTTCTCTCTGTCATATGTAAAATCATTGGAGTTGTTCATGTAGTCGAGATCATTCCATTGCACATCCTGTATTTAAATTGCACGTGTAAGGTAAAAGGCATTCAAAATGAAACAAAACAAACTGGACATATGCTGGTCCCTATCCTGAGGCATATCAATTTAGTCCACATCCCATTTCTTTAAGAACCATTTTAATATACTGTATTCAAGTACCACACATACTTATTTCTAAAAAATTTGCATTAAAATAAAAAAACACATTTAATATGACAAGTTCAATTTTGGTAGCACAAACTATTAACCTTGGGAATACACAATACAGAAACATACTTGGAAAGCAGTTCTAATCATGTATATTAAATTTATGATGTAACAAAAGCATATTAATTAAATTAAATATTACACTATCATCTTAATTCCTGGACCAACATAACACAGCATTATACACATAAGATTTATAAAATAACAAATCAGAAGCTGAAGCAAATGTTTTACCAGTGGAATCCCTGCTTCCCGAGTCCTCATCCAAACTTCCCGTGTGTTATTCAAGCTGTTGTAACCAAACCTAAAAATGATAAGGACCATACAATTGTCAGCTAAGTGATCAATATACTCTTTCCAAGTACATGTGGTCAAAATGAAAATCTGTATCTTGACTATATGCTAACTTTAATTTGAAAATCAGCTGCTACAAAATCAACATTATAAACTTAGTTAAAAACAATTGCCAAGGCCTTTTAATTAATAAATAATGTTGTAAAAATAAAATTTGTACAAAAGTGGAAATAATTTCAAACATGAGATATAATGTTTCCAATATTTGCAATTTTAATGTTTTTTTATGCTCACAGCAATTTCTCTTGTCACTACATGGTAACAGATTGCAAAAAAGAAACATAAGAAAATATTGAATAAGTACTATTTGAAAACAAAAAGCTTTATTGCACTTGTGTTTCAAATGTGCAAGTGTCAGATTATAAAGAGCTTACCGTACTTGCTCATAGGTAGAACAAATATTCTTAAAGGCAAACCTGCAAAGATGGAATCCTAATCCCCAGTAAGGAGGCATGTATGGTCTTCCAATTACTTCTGTATATTGCTGTATAACATTCTGTGGACTGGGGCCTAAGAAAATGAAGAAGTCTAGGAGCCCTCCCACAGTTCGAAATGTGATGGCTGGTGCTGGTTGAAGGATCACCTCTACAACATTGAACTTCTTTAAATTATAAGGTTCATTACAGATCATCATCATCATATTCATCAAGTATTAGGCCAAGTGGCCTGTTACAGTTTCATTCCATCTTTTTAACAGTCTTCCCAGGTTTCTCTTTCCATTCGGTCTGTAGTTCAAAAGTTGGTTTGGGATTTTATTAGTGTCCATTCTTTCAATGTGATCTTTCCAATTGGCACGATAATTCTGAATAAATTTAGAGACTCGTTCGACTTGCAATTTTTCTAGAATTTCTTCATTTCTTTTGTGGTCCAAAAGTGTAAAGCCAGCAGTTTTCCTCATAAATCTCATCTCTGCAGATACAGGTAAAATGTAAAAGTAATACCATTAATGAACAATCCTTAACGACAAAAGTACAGTTTAAAAACCTCTCTGTAATAAAGACCTCTGTATAACAAGAAAAATTTAGACTCCAAACCAAATGAAATACAAAATGCACAATATCTAAGATTTGAAGTTATGATGTAAAAGATATTGATCATGGTCCTCTGGACTGTAACACCATGTGGCCTTGCGGATGCTTTGTAGAATGGAATCATAAGCCAGAAGATCATTGTCAACACTTCACCCTGAAGCAATAACTTCCTATGAATCAATGGTAATGGCATCCAGTTTAAGACAGGAAATATGACTTACCCATAGCATTGCTATTGAGAAGAAACACACCATGGCTCTTTTCACTTTTCTCCATTACCAGATAAAAAGGATGACTGCCATAGAGATTTGTCTGAAAAACAAATACACACATGCAATAATAATGAAGCATTTAAACAGAATTAATTATAAAAAATGTTGAGATTTTGGGAGAATATGGCCAAAATATCTACCATATATCAGCTGGAGGGTCTACTAAATGCCTTGAAAGTAATCAGTCCGTATATTTAATGGTACTACCGTACTAAAAAGGCAGACATTATGTGCCATATTTATCTTCCATTTTGTTTTATGTTTGGTTATTTCACACTCTGACCACCATGTCCTTGATATTTTGGGCTGGTGCATACCATATCACATCACTTCAACTGAAATATTCTGGTCTATAAATTTCACAACCTTCAATTTTGCTTACAAAACCAGTGACAGACTGCACATACCCTGCCACCTTTAGACACATATAAAACTACCTGTATTTATATGTTTCTCTTGACCACTAGCAAAAAGTAACTTGTTAATATCAGTTAATGTCAGAGCAGCAAAATGGCATTTCCCTGAGCATGTGTAAGCCCACACCAACATAATATTCTTGACATAATAATAATTTTTATAATATTAAATTTTGTAAAAAAATTCAGAAAACTTGGATGAGTATATAGCAAATATACTCAGCAATCAAACTGTTAATGACACTTTGTAAACTATGGAAGTCATTCACTTTAAAATGGGGAACTGTTCTGGCTGACTTCACCTCCTGGGAAAAAGCCCCTGAATAAAAGACTGGATAGTTCCAAGACCTCTTCTGATCATACTAGTGAGGCAAAGAATCACAATTCTGCCATGAAGTATCTGACTAAGGACTGGTATGACCAGTGGGGACAAAGGATTCTTTTCTAGCCTCTGCAGCCAGACCAGCTACACGGCCCACCAGGTCTCCTCTATCCACTGGGTACCAGGAACCCTCTCCCCAGGTAATATAGCCAAGGAATAACACTGACAACTCACCCCAATCTAGCACCGTGGTCAAGAACAAGAAGGAGCTACAACTTCTCTCCCCTCAAGCACACAGCACATGGTCAGCTGCTGACATATGATACACATAACCATGCAACTATCTACACCTAGCCACACTCACTAGCAGTGCCATGGATGGGTTTCATTTGAACAAACCTTATATTTTTCAAAGATCTATTATCACATTACATTTCAGAATCCTATATTAAAAGGCACTTTCACCATATTAATAATGATGACGGCTTAGAATTATAAGTATGCAACTGAAGTGATATATAATATGCCATTCCTACCACATTCCAGCAGAACCTGTAAATTGGGTCAAAAGCATTGTCAGGGAGAAACTTGAACAGGCATGGACATTATACTACTATATATGCTTCACTTTCTTTATTAACTTTTAAAGGTTAAAAATCAATTTTATGGTCTGTCAGAAAGGATAGGGTTCTATCACATCTGACCATACATTTGTAGACTGTACATTATGCAAACTTTCAGTTATCTATGTAATAACAAAAGATTTGTTACAGAATAATTACTTAGAACCCTAGAACCAGGTGCAACAGTTAAAATAAGAATGTTAGCCCTGATAGGGTATGAGTAAACAAGTGTAAATCATGGTCATTTATAAATGGTTCTAATGACTGTGTTTAGTAATTAGTATTACTGGGTTTTTAGGAACTTGTGCATCATCTTGTATTTAGTTCTGAATGCTAGATAATGGTCAAAGTGCAGAAACCCAACAATCAAATGTAGTTTCCAGTGTAGTTCTATACACAAAACATACCCTTCACTTACATTTTCTTCAGGTACATGGTCATGGTTAAACATTGTGAATCTTTGCCAGTGTGTGGACAGCAGCAATGTAGATCTATGTTCTCCAAGGCCATATATGTAGTCAGAGGGCAGAAAAGCTGATAACTGCAAGAATTGGTCAGCAAATATAAATGCTCCCACATCTTGTGCATCAAAACTGAAAACAGAAACGTGTTGTCTGATTAATAACATAATTTCACATGTTACAATTTTGTTACATGATTCAGAGTACTACGGTGGTTATATCTTATATAGCCAAGATTGATTAGTCTGAAAATATTGTGCACAGTGCCACCACTGCTTGGAATGATCCTCTGTATTTGATAAGTATCTGACAGCTATGATATAAAGTTAACTTACACTGCCACACTGTCACTTTTCCTCACAACTTTAAAGCCTGTTTTGGTCTTGTCAAGTTGCACCTGATAGTCCATAGTGGGTAAATTATGTTCCATTACTGGAACCTCAGGATATGGAGGTTCAAACCGGCTGTGAAGTGGATCTACAATCTGAAAACAAAGATGGAATATAAGCATTTCACTACTGTCTTAAAATTCATAAGTTTTTATAAATCACTGCTCAAAACAAATAGCCAATGGATCAGACATGGCCCTTGAAAGACACCATCCATATATTAAACTGTTAGTCATTAAACATTTCAAAACAATATAAGACCAACTTCACTTTCACTAATTAAATAAGTGGCACAAAAATATTCATTGCAGTGGTGTTGTGCATCAGTATGAACATTCTAGTCTATAGTGTAGCATCTTGGAGGTTATGTAGATTCTTGGTTTTCTTGTTCATCACTTTCCACACAATTCACCATCCATTTTCAGTGAACTGAGTGTGCAAAAAATGACAAACAAGAAAAAAATTCTGTCTTAGGTAAAGTATATAATAACAGGTATAAGTAATATTCAATGTGTATTTCCCTTGCAGCAAACTCATATTAGCAGAAAGCCTTTGCCAATGTTATTTTGCCTTTACTTCAAACTTGTATTACCTTTATACGAAGCCGCTGTTCTGTTTCATATCTAATATCCATCCTAATCACTGCTACATCACCAGGGTATGGTGACTTGAATGTCCTTTTAAGGAATGAAATTGAGCCTGATGGTGTTTCAGTTATATTGATGAATTTATAGCCACCATAACCAGAAGGATAAAAGCAGTATGGAACATTTAAGGACGCGTGATGTACCCTACTGTTTTCAACAGAATCCTTATTCAACAGTTTCTTATTTCTGGAGACCCAACAACATCCTCTTGCCTTACAACGTGACTCAGTTGCTCCATCTTCTGGATAACAATCAAATTTAAATTCATCAGAAATTTGTTCACATTGCTTGGTTGTAACACTTGTTGATGGACGAATGATATGGCTGGAAAACATACTGTTATTGTGCGCCACTTTTTCTACAACTTGTCTCATTATGTTATGAAAAACTACTGTTTTTTCCCTTTCTTGTACAATTTCTTTTCTTGGATTAGAGTGGCTATGATCTGTGATAACACGATTAAATTCGTCTGATGGCCACTGAGAATTCAGATTTATAATAGGGATAACGATGACCAGAATGATTACCAATGATAATATTAAAAATGTTGAAACACTAGGGCGGGGACATCTTGAGTCATCAGGAGTAAGTTTCGTTGTAGAAGAGTAACGTACATTCAGTCTGTTAAATTCTGGTCCGGATGTTTCTTTAGTAACAGAATTTGTATCTTCATTCATTTTCTGCTCATTGAAGCTTGATTCAATGGGTTGAGTTTCATCTGCCCTGACACTTCCAAGAGTCGTGATTCTTCTAAGAACACTTTTTATTGGTCCCTGCATGCTGAATTTGTTGATCTTCACTAACTGACAATAACCCTTAATATTCAGTTCTGCTTCAACATCATAATAATTAATAACAGTATTCCGTTTGTGCAATCAATGTAGACAAAGATTTAGTGGTGAGGTTTTCATCTTGATTATGAATTAAGAAATTGCAGGGAACACTTCTAACACAATTAACTTAGCCACGAAACTTATCGGACATAAAGTTTACTGTATGCAAATGCACTTCTGTACTTGACAATTAATGTGATTTCATCAAATACCCACAACAAAACAAACACACCCCTCACTTCTGCAAAATCACACTAAATACCAACATAACTGTCCTGTAAAAATGTAGTTGGAGGGTTGGTTGTTCTGAAACATGGCCTCCATGTTAACAGCGCTCCAAGTGGAACCTTTGAGAAACACGCATGGGTATAAGGAAACTTTGTTTTTGGTTATGGCAGTATTGATGTTTACAAGAATTTTCAGCGTTTTTAACCCGTGATACAATATGAAAGACGAAGCACAGATAATTATGACTTTTAAATAGATATTTAACCGTCAGTTTAGGGACTTTTGTGTTTTTCAAATATTTTGAAATGGATGCGAACGGCAATGGTAAGCGAACGATTCCGAAACTAATAGATATATTTAGTCGCCAGAGGCAAGATTCCGACAGTGGGCCAGAATGTTCGGATTTGGACTTTATATATGATGATGCTGATTCCCTAGTCAATGAGGTAGCAGAGCTCTACAGTTATACAGAACAACTGGAGTTTCAGTTAAATGTCAAAGCATTTGAAGATCAAATGAAGGAATGGAAACTTAGTCCCTTTTGGTTAAAGTTTTCGGATAGTAAACAAAGGTCAATAGTAATGAAACTTATGGACCAACTAGAAGTATCTAATAAAGTCATCAGAATGAAAGCTGCCCGTTGTATATTGTACTTGGCCCAAGGTTGCTGGGCAGAATTGCAATCAGATGCTGAGCAGCAAATGTGGACTCAAAAAAATGTCATGTTGCTATTTGAAAGTGGAGTCTTCAGTGCCTTCATAGAACTTTTAAACATCGAGATAGAGAATAGTTCTGCAGCATCTACAGCTTTAAGAAAACTTGCAGTTAGTTTGGCTGATTCAACAGATCTAAGAATAATACTCAGTGTTTTATATATCATGATGGAAGTAATTCGTACTGTGAGAGAAGATGATACAGATGAAATAAAGAACTATCGAGAGGCTTTCAAAAGTGATTTAGGGAATGCAGTTGGAGATGAATTGTTGGTAGTGAAACTATTAGGAATGGTAACACGTTTCTGCAGTGGGTCAGCACCGCACTTCCCTATGAAGAAAGTTCTTCTCTTGCTTTGGAAGACTATACTGACATCCTTGGGTGGTATGGATACTCTGAGGCAACTGAAATGTACATATCGAGAACAAGCGGGTTTGAGCATGACACAGGACACAATGGAGGTAGCCCGGACAATGAGAGCCTCATCACCTCCAGCCAGTGCAGCAGATTTGCTTGAAGCCCAAAACCTGAAGCGGAACAATAGACCATTCAGACGAATCCTCATGAAGCAGAGTTCCTTGGATGAAACTTTAGGAATGGAATATGAGCCAACAGACCAAACTGATGAGGAAGTTAGAGAGTTTGCGGAGCGGATGGCAATGGAAGATGCGGGAGAGATACCACAGCCTCCTAGCCCTCGTCCAAGTACTCCTGTCCCTACTAAAGGGAAGGGTCTCCCCTGGGCTCCAAAAGCTCGTCAGAAAGATCTTGACCAGTTTCTAGAAAGCACAAGAGTAAAATTTGTTGGCTTCCCACTTCAGGGAGATAGAGTTTCTTTGGCTGGACTGCCTCAACCCATTCATGAGGGAGTGGAAGTGTTGAAACATAATATGTATACATCTTTGGCTGAGGTTCAGATTCAAAAAGAAGAAGATATAGCAAGAAATCCCATCTCAACACCAGAATTCAATGTGCCTCAGACACCAACAGAAGTGTTATACCAGGCAATGTTACCAAATTTGCCACAGTACATGATTGCATTACTAAAAATTCTGCTTGCAGCAGCTCCAACATCAAAGGCTAAAACTGATTCTATCAATATTATGGCAGATGTTCTTCCAGAAGAAATGCCAATGACAGTTTCGCAGTCTATGAAGTTAGGCGTTGATGTTAATAGACATAAGGAAATTATTGTAAAGGCAGTCTCAGCAATACTTCTGCTTTTATTGAAACATTTTAAATTGAATCACATTTACCAGTTTGAATTCATGTCTCAGCATTTAGTATTTGCAAACTGTATCCCGTTAGTTCTAAAATTTTTTAATCAAAATATTATGGCATATGTTGGAGCAAAGAATACCATCCCAATTCTTGATTTCCCATCATGTATTATTGGGGACCAGCCAGAGCTTACAGCAGAGAGCCTTGAAATAGGTGACAATCAGCAATATTCATGGAGAAACATTTTCTCTTGCATAAATATGTTGCGGATCTTGAACAAGCTTACCAAATGGAAACATTCACGTATAATGATGTTAGTGGTGTTTAAATCAGCACCAATTCTCAAACGTACACTAAAGGTACGTCATGCAATGATGCAGCTCTATGTATTGAAACTGCTCAAAATGCAAACCAAGTATCTTGGACGCCAGTGGAGAAAATCTAATATGAAGACAATGAGTGCCATATATCAAAAAGTTCGCCATCGTCTTAATGATGACTGGGCCTATGGTAATGACCTGGATGCACGACCATGGGATTTCC